AATGGTGGTAAAACTCACTGTTTTTAAAAGGGAATGGTGGTAAAACTTACTGTTTTTAAAGAGTCACACTTTTTATAGAAATCAAAATTATGCACTTTCTTCACTTCCAGATGAGTCATCAGACTCCTCATCTGAGCTTTCACTTTCATCGCTGTCTTCATTATTGCTTTCCTCATCTTCATCACTACTGTCACTGTCAGTGTCATCCTCTTCATTTTGATGAATTGACGCAGCTTCATCTAAAAGTAAATTGTGAATTCAGTTATCATTAGTCAAATGTGTATTTACTGCAAACGTACTTTTGCATAGGCAAGGCAGGGAAAAAGTGTAAAATAGACAGCAAAACAACAACACACCCACAAGGAAACCTGCATTTTACAATGTATCATAATTATATGTACAAGTAAATATTTATAACTCTGCAGTATTTTTATTTTACACTTTATTTTTAACGATTGCCTATAACTGTTATAAATTATGATTACATATTTCATTTATATCATTATCACAATTTGGCTCCTTCTGTCATGTTAATTTTTCAATAAACTAATTATCTGTATGAGACAGAACAGACAAAAGAGGCCAGTCAGAAATATGTGAGCAATCTTTGGTGAATAGTATAGGGACTAAAGATGGTTAAGATGGGATCTTAAACAGAAAAGCTAGTTTAGCTCAAGACGCCCTCTTGATAAAGAAATTGAAACCAATGTTGAGAACGACTGCTCTGAGGCTTGTTAAACAGCTGATTGTCACTTAAAATATTACTAAGTGCTCAGTAAAGATGTTGTGCTTCATTCTGCTAGCTAGTACTTCATCTAACAACCACTCCTAACAGTAAACAGAAAAATTTAGGTCAGCTATGCTGAAATCAAAATTAAGAAAACCAGATACCAGCAATGAGTATTTGGGACAGGCAGATGAAACATGCCTGAAGTTCCTGAACTCAGTATTGACTCCAGAATGCTGCAAAGTGTTGATACTCCAGCTTGCTGTGGGCTTCACTGCAGCACTGCATCAGGCCGAGGACACAAATGTGAGAATGAGAGGGAAATGGTATACTAAAAAGTGACAATTAACCAAAAGAGTGATGCTCACTGACTGAGTGGAGTGTTCCACAAAGTGGTCACTCAGTATGTGTTTGGCCTCCCCTGATATAGAGGAGACCACATTGTGAGCAGCAAATACGGCATTCAGTTGACTAGATTAAAAGAACTATCAGTAAATCACTCCTTCACCTGGAAGGAGTGTTTGGGGTATTAGACAGTGAGGTGATAAAAGGGCAAGTGTTACAGTTTTTGTGATTACATGGGAATATACCATGGGATGGTATGAGGTGTTGTAGGTGAAAGAGAGCCATCAGGGTGTGATGTAGGGAATGGTCCCTTCAGAACGCTCACAGGGAGGGGAGGGAAAGATGTCTTTGTGGTGGCATCATGCTGGAATGAAACAAATAGTGGAGGATGATCCTTTGAATAGGGAGGCTGGTAGGGTGGAAAGTGAGGGCAAGGGGGAAACAGTGTGGTTCTGGGAGAATGGAGAAATAGGCAGTCTTAACAACAGTATAAAAGTGAGCTTGGGAACTCAGGATCAAATATGGCACGAAAATTGACAACAACCTGATTTAATTGCAGACTGTTACAAGTGGGATGGATGGAATCCACAGCAAGAGAGCCATTTGGAGCTGGAATCTGGCAGAATGGTTTCAGTTTTCCCACTATTTATATGGAGGAAGTTTCTGCCTCTCTATTATTGGATGTCAGATAAGAAGTCTGATAATTTAACAACAGCAAAGGAGTCAAGAGAAGTGATGGGATTGTAGAGCCGAGTGTTGTCGACATGCATGTGAAAATGGAAACTGTGCCAATAAGAGGTAGTGGCTGAGGAGGATCCTTGCCTTCCGGGTGGCAGATGAGAGGGCAGGTCCTCTGTAGCTATCGCAATTGGTCTTCTTTCCCTTCTTGAATACAGAAACAATCACAGTGTCCCCAGGACACCCAAAATGTGAATATCTTCCCAAGTGAAGGATATGATAATGTGTAACTGTGCCAGGAGGTTATCTCTGCTTTGTTTCAGAATTTCAGCAGGGATTCCCATCAGTTCCAAAGATGTCAAAATACTTTTAATATACATTTATAGGATGCAGGCATCAATAGTTAGGCAAGCATTTAATGCCTTTCCTAACTAGCCAGAGAGCAGTTAAGAGTCAATTACAATGGGTCTGGAATCATGTAGGCCAGAACCAGGGAAGCTGGCAGATTTTCTTCCCTAAAACTCATTAGTGAAATCGATAAGTTCTTTTTCTTACAATTCATAGTGGCTACCTTTACACTAACTTTTCATTCCAGAATTTTTTAAATTCTAATTTACCAACTGCAATGGTGAGATTTGAACCCATGTTCCCAAAATATTAGCCTCATGTTGTGAATTATTGGTCCAGTGACATTACCACCACACCAGTGCCTCCCCTTCTGCAGCCTTGGTCTAGACTGAGGATAATGCAGAGACTAAGCCAGATGGGGTACTGAGGAATGAAGTCTCCTTTGCCTGAGAGTTGCCTCGAACGTAGAGACTAACCTGTGTCTCCACTAAGGCACCTTCATTAAGTGAGCAGGAAACTCATTCTCCAACACTATATACATCTTCATTCACATTGGGTAGATGATTGCCTACTGGTATTATCGCTAGACTTTAATCCAGAAACCCAGCCAATGTTCTGGGGACCCGGGTTCGAATCCCACCACGGCAGATGGTGGAATTTGAATTCAATAAATAATAAAAAAAAACACAAAAAAAAGAGTCTGGAACACCAATGAAATCATTGTCGGAAAAACCCATTTGGCTCACTAATGCCCTTCAGGGATGCAAATCTGCCACGCTCACCTGGTCTGGCCTACATGTGAACCCAGCCCCACATCAATGTTGTTGACTCTCAACTGCTCTCTGAAATGGCCTAGCAAGCCACTCAGTTGTACCAATCGCTACAAAGACTCAAAGAAATGAAAACGGACGGATCACATGGCATCGACCTAGGCACCGGAAAAGACAACGGCAGAAACGGCCCTGTTGACCCTGCAAAGTTCTCCTCATTAACATCTGGGGAATAGTGCCAAAATTGGGACAGCTGTCTCACAGACTAGTTAAGCACCAGCCTGACATTGTCATACTCACAGAATCATACCTTACAGACAATGTCCCAAACACCACCATCACCATCTCTGGATATGTCCTGTCTCACCGGCAGGAAGACCCAGGAGAGATGGCGGCACAGTGGTATACAGTCAGGAGGGTGTTGCTCTAGGAGTCCTCAACATTGACGCTGGAACCCATGAAGTCTCACGGTTTCAGGTTAAACATGGGCAAGGAAACCTCCTGCTCACTACCACATACCATTCTTCCTCAGCTGATGAATCAGTACTCTTCAATGTTGAACAACACTAAGAGGAAGCACTGAGGATGGCAAGGGCACAAAATGTACTCTGGGTGGGGGATTTCAATGTCCATCCCCAAGAGTGGCTCAGCAGTAGTACTACTGATCAAGCTGGTCAGGTCCTAAAGGACATAGCTGCTAGACTGGGTCTGCGAAAGTTGGTGAGGGAACAAACAAGATGGAAAAACATACTTGACCTCATCCTTACAAATCTGCCAGCTGCAGTTGCATCTGTCCATGACATATCGGTAAAAGTGACCATCGCACAGTCCTTGTGGAGATGAAGTCCCGTCCTCACACTGAGAATAACTTCCATTGTGTTGTGTGGCACAATCACTGTGCTAAATGGGACAGACTTCGCACAGAACTAGCAACTCAAGACTGGGCATCCATGAGACTGGGCCATCAACAACAGCAGAACTGTATTCCAGCACAATCTGTAACTTCGTGGCCCAGCATATCCCCCACTCAATCATTACCATCAAGCCAGGGTATTAACCCTGGTTCAATGGACAGTGCAGGAGGGCATGCCAGGAGCAGCACCAGGCATATCTGAAGATGAGGTATCAACTTAGTAAAGCCACCAAACAGGACTACTTGCACACCAAACAGGGAAAGAAGCAAGTGACAAAGCTAAGTGATCCCACAACCAACGGATCAGATCTAAGCTGTGCAGTCCAGCCACATCCAGTTGTGAATGGTGGTGGACGATTAAACAATTCACTGGAGGAGGAGGCTCCACAAATATCTCCATCCTCAATGATAGAACAGTCCAGCACATCAGTGCAAAAGATAAGGCTGAAGCATTCGCAGCAATCTTCAGCCAGAAGTGCCGAGTGGATGATCCATCTCAGCCTCCTCTAGTGGTCACCAGCATTACAGATACCAGTCTTCAGCCAATTCAGTTCACCCCACATGATATCAAGAAATGGTTGGATACTCCAAAGGCTACGGCCCCTGACAACATTCTGGCAATAGTACTGAAGACTTGTGCTCCAGAACTTGACACTCCCCTAGCCAAGTTGTTCCAGTACAGTTACAACACTGGTATCTAACTGACAATGTGGAAAATTGCCAAAGTATGTCCTGTACACAAAAGGAAGGACAAATCCAACTCAGCCAATTATCGCCCCATCAGTCTACTCTTAATCATCAGTAAAGTGATGGAAGGTGTCATCAACAGTCCTATCAAGCAGCAACTGCTCAGCAATAACCTGCTCAGTGACCACAGTTTGGGTTCTGCCAGGGCCACCCAGCTCCTGACCACATTACAGCTTTGGTTCAAACATGGACAAAAGAGCTGAATTCCAGAGGTGAGGTGAGGGTGACAGCCCTTGACATCAAGGCTGCATTCGACCAAGTGTGATATCAAAGAGCCCTAGTAAAACTGGAATTAATGGGTATCGGGGGCAAACGGTGTTTGGAGGCATACTTGACACATAGGAAGATGGTTGTGGTTGTTGGAGGTCAATCATCTCAGCTCCAGGACATCTCTGCAGGAGTTCCTCAGGGTAATGTCCTGGGCCCAACCATCTTCAGCTGCTTCATCACTGACCTTCCCTCCATCATAAGGTCAGAAGTGGGGTGCTCACTGATGATTGCATAATGTTCAACACCATTTGTGACTCCTCAGATACTAAAAGAGTCCATGTTCAAATGCAACAAGATCTGGACAATAATCAGGCTTGGGCTGACAAGTGGCAAGTGATGTTTGCACCACACAAATGCCAGGCTATGATCATCACGAATAAAAGACAATCCAACTAACACCCCTTGGCATTCAATGGTGTTACAATCACTGAATATCCATTT